AACACCGCTAAGGTGATCGCGAACCTGTTTGAGCTGGCACCGGTGATCAATAGTATGAAGGGCGGGCAAATCAGCCTGAAAGCTTTATCAGCAGCAACTTTCCAGCTATTGCTCACAACATTCAAAACTTATATTGAAGACATCCTGGGACTACAGGCGCTGCAGACGGAGCAAAGTGATACGCTGGACAAGGTAATGAGCCTGCTGATAGATATCCGTAAAGATGCACGTACCCGTAAGGATTTTGCCACAAGCGACCAGATACGTAACCAGCTTGCCGCTGCGGGCATTGCACTTAAAGATGAGAAGGACGGCAGCGTATCGTACACGATAGACTAAGATCATGATAAAAAAAATAGCCCGGATCCTTAAATACCTGGCCGATTATAAAGGAAAGATTGCCCTTTACTTTTTGTTCAGCCTGCTGGCCACTTTGTTTAGCACCTTGATGGTGGCCATGCTGGGCCCGGTACTCCAGGTACTGTTCAGTGACGGCGCTACCACACCGGCTAAGCCATCGGCCCCGGCCACTGGCTTTATTAACCAGTCGACCGCCTATATTAATGAGCAGCTGCTGCAGTATGACAAGCTGGATGTATTGATGGGCATTTGCCTGACGCTGATTGTAGTGACGGTGCTGAAAAACCTGTTCCTGTTCTCTGCTACTTATATCCTGAATCCATTACGGAACTCAGTACTTCGCCGCATACGCGACAATATGTTTACCAAAATGCTCTCCCTGCCGATTGGCTTCTTTACGGAAGAGCGCAAGGGAGATCTGATCTCACGCATGACCAATGATGTGAACGAGGTGGAGCTGTCCATTATGGCTACGCTGGAAGTATTTATCCGTGAGCCATTGGCTATTATTTTCACCCTTGGCTTTATGCTGGCCATCAGTGTCAAGCTAACGCTGGCCATGCTTATTTTCCTGCCGGTTGCCGGATTGGTTATCGGGCGCATCGGGCGTTCCCTGCGCAAATCATCCAATGTGGTGCAGCAGAATATGGGGCTGATGCTGGGTGTGATTGATGAAACGCTGATCGGTATGCGGATCGTAAAGGCTTTTAATGCCGAGAAGAACCAGCACCTCCGCTACATGGAATTGAACAATACCGATTTCCGTTTGCGCAATAAAATAGCCACCCGCCGTGAGCTGGCCTCGCCTACTTCTGAGACCATGGGTGTGATCGTGGTGAGCTGTATCCTGTGGTATGGCGGCAGCCTGATCTTTAAAGGGGGCTGGTCGCTGGCCCCCCAGTCATTCCTGGTGTACATTGCCATGTTTACCCAGATCATTAATCCTTTTAAAAGCCTGTCGACCTC